TTCCCCTAGCCCTAGAACGAAAAGTGCACCTTCCCTTGACATATAACAATACAAGAAAATGGAAAAAGTAAGTTAAGTAGCAAAGTTTTACCGTATTTCTTCACTATCTAAGACTACAAGAGGATGGGAAAAGTGAGGTAAACCAAAAAGTTTTACCGTATTTCATTGTCAACTAACAATACAAGAGGAAGGGAAAAGTAAGTTAAGTAGCAAAGTTTTACCGTATTTCCTCGACATCTAAGACTACAAGAAAACGGAACAAGAAAGGTAAGTAACAAAGTTGTACCGTATTTCATCAGCATTTAACAACACAAGAGGAATGGGGGGAAAGTGAGGTAAAGAAACAAAGTTTTACAGTATTTCCTCGACATCTAGCAATACAAGAGGAAGGGAGGGGAGTCAGGTAATTAATAAAGTTTTACCGTATTTCCTCGGCATCTAACAATACAAGAGGAATGGGGGAAAAGTAAGGTAAGTAGCAAAGTTTTACCGTATTCCCTCGACATCTGACAATACAAGAGGAAGGGGAAAGTCAAATAAATAACCCAAAAAAAGTTTTACCGTATTTCCTCGGCATCGTTCTTTCCCAGCAGCGAGCCGGAAGCTTTCTTTGCCACATAGCGCACGATGGCTCTGGTCTGAACGATCTGATGGCCGTCTATCTCCAACAGAGGGATCTGACCGAACAAGAGTTTTCCTTCTGGGGACCAGAATCAGACGGAAACGACGTGAAAATATCGAATTACATGGTTTGTTTGTTTATTTGCTCTTTTAAAGCAAGCGATTAACCTCTTCACTACTGTGTAGAGACGTATCTACTCGCGTGTTTACCTAAACTGGTTCTCTGCCATGTTTGTACATGTACTCGTTTGTACGGGGAGTTACAGAAGATGTCACACGACTTTTCCTGTTGTGCATTCTTAAATCTTAAAAAAGGGGAGATATTTTGACTTTGTTAGGATATTTCTTGAATGAACATTTCATCATGTCTGTACAAACTTAGGTGGAAAGGCCTCAGCAGCGAAGGGGTTAATTCTATAACCGAAACTAGAGGTAATTTGGTGCTTTTGAAAAGGTTTTGTCAAGGAAAGAAGGAGCAGGCAACACCACCCATTAATTAAGTACAGATTCCATTACAATACATGAATCGGAGGTTTGGAATGTTCTGTTGGTTATTTCGCCTTTCAGTTGTCAACTCGTCTCTCGGGTCATCATCATCATCATCATCATCATCACCATCATCATCACCATCATCATCATCATCATCATCATCATCATCATCATCATCATCAACATCATCATCATCATATGGCAATTCGAATGGAGTTATTTGGACGAGTGGAGGTGCCGCTAAGCATATTGACAACGGAGCCGAAAAAGAGCCTCGCTCTCGCTCGAAGATTTCTTCGTGGAGTCCGTCAGGCCCATTAAGGAATCAAAAACAAATCATCATCATTATCATCCGGTGCCTTGTCGACTGGCGTGGGCGATCATGGACCTCCACTTCACTCTGTCTTGCGTTGCAGCAATGGTGTCTGTCGTTCTTAATGTTCCCAGCCATGTTGTCATCTTGTCCAGTATCTTTTCCCTCTGTCTGCCTCTGCCTCTCTTTCTATCAAACTTGCCTGTTACAATATTCTCCAATGTTACTTTCCGCTTAGTGTGTCCAATGAACTTTGCCTGTCGCTTTCGTATATTCATCATAACCTGTCGTCTGCAATTTGTTTCAACCAAGACCTCTTCAAATTTTGTTTTTCTAGCTGTCCATGGGATACGCAGCATGCGTCTTATGAACCACAAATTGTTCTTTCCAGCTGTTTATTGATTGTCCACGCTTCGCACCTGTATAATAGGACAGGCTTGATGTAAGTTTTCAGTACTCTTCTACTTGTTTCTAGTGAGAGATTGATGTTTGTGAGTATCTGTTTCATTTTGTGGGAAGTTGCTTTTACTCGGCAAATAAAATGCGGCTTTTAATTTCCGTGTAGCCTGAGAAGTGTGCCAAGGGAAGCAAGCATTGGAGAGAAAAGTTCACCGTTCTTTCTTTACTCCAGTCATGTCCCTTGAACAGCCGGCTGAGATACCCATACCCCTGTAGGGTTTCTGGGCAAATTGTAAATGTAGTCCGGTAGCTAAAGGTTCGATCAGTGACCGCTGACCTTGGCAGTATCCCCGACATGTTTGTTTCGGTGAGTGTTTTACTCAGCTCGCAACTGCATAAGGTCATAGGAGCCCTCGGGACACATTAACCCTATCCAGTATCCGTACGCCCTGGGGTCATTTTGTACCTCTGGGGTTGTATTCTTCACATTTTACAATACTTCTAGTACGAAGATGTCTTTGAAACTTTCAGTATTTCTCAAAAAATCATTTTGACAGACTGCTATGCAAAGCATACGGATCGGATTAGCGAGTAAATTTCCTCTCTGGAAAGTGGTGGCACCCATGTGGGAGTGGGGGGGGGGGGCTCCTAAGGGGAATACTTCGTCCAGGCTAAAGACAGGGGTGTCCCTTTGAACTATAAGGCTTCTTCATGCGGGAATCGAACCCAGGTCTTTTGCGCACAGGAGCTTAAAGAGTTCAATAACAAATGGACTGAATAAAAGGATAGAGGGTGGCTGGAAGAATGGATGGTCCATTTTTTTTAATGAATGAACATACAACGGAATTGGAAGGTAACACACGAAAGAGTAGATGGATTTTCACTGACCAGCTGCAGAACAAAATGATGCAATTCTTTGATGAAGTTTACAGCAGAATGAAGCAACAATGAAATAACACAGGAGACTACAGTCCGACCTTCGAGAAGCTTCAGCAAATCGCTTCTTGTAGTTAGGTTGATTTCCTCAAACTGTGGATGGAAGAGAGTGGACTGTGAGCAATCTTGCTGAAAGACAGCAGTAAGAAGGAGCCAAGGAGTAGCAGTAGAAGGACATCAGTAAGAAGGAGCCAAGGAGTAGCAGTAGAAAGACAGCAGTAAGAAGGAGCCAAGGAGTAGCAGTAGAAAGACATCAGTAAGAAGGAGCCAAGGAGTAGCAGTAGAAAGCATCAGTAAGAAAGAGACAAGGAGTAGCAGTAGAAAGACAGCAGTAAGAAGGAGCCAAGGAGTAGCATTAGAAAGACATCAGTAAGAAGGAGACAAGGAGTAGCAGTAGAAAGGTTGCAGAAAGAGTCAGGAGCCCAGAGGAGGGGGCAAAGAAGGGTGGGGGCAGAAAGTGGAGACGAAAGCAGACGACATATCATTGCCTGAGGGCAGGAAAGGAAGTGAGAGGAGACAATTTTAGAGAAGAAAGTTTTTCGGTCACTACCCGGGACCTTTGAATGAGAGGCGAACACTTTAACCTCTAGGCTACGAACAGCAACACAAATATACAATTTCCATAGATTTGTATAAAACTATATAAGTATACATTTTCAATAGACCTATACAACTACATGGGTATATTGAGTTTTCCACCCAATTTCTATACAACTACACGAGTATCATTTCACATCGATTCAAAGAAAAAAAATCTATACAAAAATACAGTATACTTTTTGCTTTGACTTGTAAACAACAGCATGTGTATAATATTTTTCTCTCTCACGTGTATAATGTTTTGGGTGCGTGAAAGCAGACAGTTTTAGAGAAGAATATTTTTACGTCATAACCTGGATTCGGTGGCCTAGTGGTTAGGCTCTCGGACTCGCAACCGTAAGGTCCTGGGTTCCAATCCCGTCAGGGGCCCGACGTTGTGTCCTTGGGAAAGGCACTTTACACGATTTTCCTCACTTCACCCAGGTGGGAATGGGTACCCGGCTATAGACAGCGAAAGACCTTGTCAGTTTGTTAGTGTTTGAGCGCTTAATCGGCTGCTTGCACTGTATGCTTCCCCGGAAGCTGAGAATGTTTCGGAGTGTTCTATGGTCTGCTGGGGTAATAATATAGTGTAAAGCGCATAGAGCCTGCTGTTGAGCGGGAATATGCGCTATACAAATGCTATTTATTATTATTATTATTATTATTATTATTATTATTATTATTATTATTATTATGGATTCTAACCCGGGACCTTTGAATGAGAGGCGAGCACCTTAACCTCTAGGCCACGAGAGCCCCCTACTTTGGTTATGTGTTAACCAAAGAGGTTGTATTTAGTACTAGAGTCCGTGGCAGTGATGTTCCCCACACAAAGAGGTTGTATTTAGTACTAGAGTTTGTGGCAGTGACGTCACCAACGTAAACGAACGGGGGCTGCGTGTGCCCACTCTGGGACGCTGAACCTCAAGGGCAAGACATGCGCAGTTCAATAGACGGGTGAGTTCTTTTCGAGACACACGTGGAGGCGTCTCGGCGGTCTTAAGAGGGAATCTACAAGCTTTCACTGAAATATGGGGGCAGGGTGGTGTGTGATATTCCAGAGCTCGTGGGGAGCGGGGTGGGGGAGTGGGGGCTCAGATTGTTCATGTAAATGGGGGCACGCCGGCCATGATGATGGGGATAAGAACTTAAGAAGCCCCCCATGTCTGACACGTGTGACGTCAGGGCTGTGAGCTCTAGTGTCTGTACATATCATCTTTGTGAAAGTTCGTCACTTTGGCCGCCTAAAACTTCGGAACCACTTAACTTTCCAATTTGGACAAATTGACGGCGGTTCAGAATCATTGAAAGGGTGCACAGTTTTACTGAGGAGTCTGAAGTCACTGTAGTTTGATTTTCAGTTTTTCATTAGTTTCATTTAGATCTAATCTTGGGAAAGTCCGTCTTCTAAGACGCCATTGGGAACAAGTGAGACTCCCGTTCACAATGAGTGCGCACACATTCCACTCCTTTGAAATTTTGGAGTGTACAACCATGAAAGCAAAATAGAGAATCAATCTATGCATCTATTATACATTTGGCAACTTGGAAACACATGTGTCACTTTTCTCTCAAGATTTATTGCTGCATTCCAGTAGAATGTAAAAATAGTAGGCCAATGACTTTAAGTTGATGTTAATGCACCGATCATTCCGTTCATGGAAAGGAGGCCCAGCTAGTTATACAGAACCTCTTTGGTATTCACTGTTCATACACCTGTGTCATCCCACAAGGCTGTCGACAGCTCCATATAGAACGGTCAAAAATTCGTGGTGCAACTTATTGTCAGACTTCTCCTCAACTATTGAGCATAAACTCTCCAGCTTTTGCACGGCGACTTGGATCAATTTGTCTTAACAGATCAGTATTTTGGTGAACATCTGTTAGCTCTACTCAAGAATATTCCTTAATAAATACTAATAAAAGATCCCGGAGGGTGGTTTCTATAAATTTAAAAGGTTTACTGCTGGGACAATATTGATTTTAAAAGCAAGTCCATTATTTTTTCTAATCGCAAGATTATCTGTATCGAACACATGTTTTGAGAGCTTTTAGTGCAGAAAAGTGTTCACTATAAGATTAAATTCTTGTAATAATAATAATAATAGATAGCATTTGTATAGCGCATATCCCCGCTCAACAGCAGGCTCTATGCGTTTTGCACTATATTATTACCCCAGCAGACCATAGAACACTCCGAAACATTCTCAGCTTCCCGGGAAGCATACAGTGCGAGCAGCCGATTAAGCGCTCAAACACTAACAAACTGACAAGATCTTTCGCTGTCTATAGCCGGGTACCCATTCCCACCTGGGTGAAGTGAGGAAAATTCGTGTAAAGTGCCTTTCCCAAGGACACAACGTCGGGCCCTTGACGGGATTCGAACCCACGACCTTACGGTTGCGAGTCCGAGAGCCTAACCACTAGGCCACCGACGCCACTAGTAACTAGTGTAACTAGTTTTGCCACTAAAAAGTGTCTTTGGTGAGCTGTGACGTAGGCCTTATGCGTGAGCAAAAAATGTGTGTGAGAAGCGGGAAGTACTGTGAACAATTCCATTTTCCGTGTGAAGGAGATTTATAGTATTTTATATAAATTTATGAACAAAAGTTTTTTAATTGAGCCTTAATTATTGTGGGAAAATATGATTAGGTTCAGACAAATTGATACAAACTTCTGTGCAAAGTGTGGGTGATACTGATTCACCCGTTAAAAAGATGTTTGAGGATAAGTTGCGCCACGAATTTTTGACCGCACTATATAATATTAGTAGTAGACCATAGTCTGATACTTCGTCAGCCTTCCTCTTGAGTACATCGCTGACCTTGAATGGTGCGGCCAAGTCACACATTGTGTCAATCCGTGTCGTCAGTGCGTGTTGTTTACTTCAGCGTCTCCAGAATTGGGTCATCGGCACGGACCCCTATCCCCAGGTCACGCTGAGCCCAGGGTGCACAACCTTAGGTTTGGACGCTTTTAAGAACAAGTAGGCTAACCCAGATTGTGGGGGATTTCCAGAAATCTTGACCTACACCAAAAGTGGGCATTGCCCTACCTATAGGAGAAGTTTGGTTTCATTGGTGTGTATATGTGTTTGATTATAGAGAAAACTCTCCTTGTCTTTTAAAGAAACTGAACAAGGGTAAAAAAAACTTTACCTTCGATTTTCTGAGAACAGCATTGTTCGGGATAGCCGCCTTGTGCTTAAAAGCGACCATTTTTTCACTCGGCTTCTTCTACTCCTCTCAGTTCTCAGCTTAACAATAGTAAATGGCATTTTATTGCGCATATCCCCGCTCGACAACAAGCTGTATGCACTTTACGCTTTAATACTATTACCCCAGCAGACCATAGAACACACAGAAACATTCTCAGCTTCCCGGGAAGCATACAGTGCAAGCAGCTGATTAAGCGCTTAAACACTAACAAATTGGCAAGATTATTCTATAGTTTTGTACATTTTTTATACAAATGTAGCGCATTAAGTCTGTGTTAACCTCGGGGGCGGTGCTACTGACTGAAGTGTCTTTAGGCCATTCTCAAAGGGGGAGGGGGGGACATTAACATGTTCTTAAAATATGCACAGTAAAATTGTAAATGGGCTGATTCATCAATGTCATGCTCATACTACTGTGCCTGAACGGCAACAGGGAACTGCTGCTTTTTCTTTTCTAATCCTCACCATCGTCACTTTTTCCTCTACTTCTTTTGTATGTTTGTCACACTCTTGTGAACTGCTATGTCCGGGGTGCCTTGATAGTCGAAGCAGTCAGGAGCCCAGAGGAGGGGATAGGGAGTGGGCAGAAAGTGGAGACGAAAGCAGACGACAGAACATTGCTAGAGGGCAGGAAAGGAGGTGAAAGGAGAAATTATGGAGAAGAAAAAGTTCCGTCGCTGACAGGTTTTGAACCCGGGGCCTATTAATTGAGAGGCAGACACCGTAATCTCTGTACCCCCTCCTCAGGGCTCCTGACTCTTTCCGCAGCCTTTCTTCAGCTACTTCTTGGCTCCTTCTTACTGCTGGTTACCAGCAACAGCCTTGATCTTATTGCAGCCTTTTGTATACCCCGGGGTTGTATTTTTCACATTAAAAATGTTACAATACTTTTTGTGTCAATATCTCTTTGAAACTTTCAGTATTTCTCAAAAAAATATTTTGACAGACTGCTATGCAAAGAGTACAGGTCAGATTAACGAGTAAATTTCCTTTTGGGAAAGTGGTGGCATTGGGTTCCCCACGTCGTATGGATACGATAGTAAAACACGACGTACGAATAGGGTTAAGTGGAGGCACTGAGTTCCCCACATCGTATGGATACGATAGTAAAACACGACGTACGGATAGAGTTAAGTGGTGGCACAGAATTCCCCACTTTGTATGGATACGGTAGTAAAACACGACGTACGGGTAGGGTTAGCGCGTCCCGCAAGCTCATCTGGACTTTATAACATTTGCGAGCGCCGTAAAACACTCACCAGAACAAGTAATCCCTACCTCTATTCCTGCAGCCACACACACCAAGCGGGGCAGCTCTGCCATCCCGCGCTGGTAGAAATAATACAACTTGGCGGCCATCTTGTGTGTTTGCTTGACACTTGACACGTGACACAGAGGAAGAAGTAGGACAGACAGAATCGTTTCTCGGCAAGTCGTCAACTTCGTTATTTATTGTTATCTCAGCTGGATCATCGCAACATTTGTACGGTATTTAAAAAGCTCTATAGCTTATGACGAATACGTGAAATCGACAGGCAAATTTCATTGGACACACAATGCGGAAAGAGACTTTGGAGAATATTGTAACGTCAGGCAAGTTTGATGGAAAGAGAGGCAGAGGCAGACAGAGGGAAAAGATACTGGACAAGATGACAACAAGATATCTGGGAGCAGCAAGAACGACAGACACCATCGCTGCAACACAAGACAGAGTGAAGTGGAGGTCCATGATCGCCCACGCCAGTCGGCAAGGCACCGGATGATGATGATGATGATGATGATGATGATGATGATGATGATGATGATGATGATTTAAACCTTTTACAGGGCGAAACGTTGAACCTGCATTAAATCTGAAAAATCTACTAAGTCTCAACCCCTTTTTTATTCCCAGCTACCTACAATAATGATGACGACGATGATGATGATGATATACAATATTATATTAGTTGTTGTTTTTAACATGTATGTTTCTGGTGCAAGCGTCTGTGCTTCAGAGTCGAGTCTCATACAGTGCACACCGTCAATCAGACAGCAGTGGCGGTGGGTGGACCAAGATTTGGGAGGGGCTTAGATTTCTTTCACTTCTTTACCACCAAAAAGCAAGCAATTAGAACAAAACAGTGATCATTTTTCTATACTCACGGCGAGCCACGGCATTTTGAGAACCATTCAAACGAGAAGAGTCACCTTTGTCTTCCATCTCTTTGTTTTTAGTTAAATTTAAGCTCTTCTGGATGGTGGGGACGAAGCCGTTTCACCTCCAAAATTCTCTAATTAGTTTTTATCTGAAGAAAAAGTTGCCTCAAAAGTGGTTTAATGTAATTAATAACGGTTAAATCTCAGCTGCACAAACACACAGCTCTCCAAGCACACATCGTGTATGAGGTGGATTGGGTTGTGTTGTTGCGGAAAATAGAACGCGCCTAACAAAGGCCCAATGGGCGCATAGGTATCTGTGTCACTGGGGAAAGTGTGTCGTAAACTTTCACCCCATTGTCTGGGCTGGGAGAGCGTGAGCCCTCTGTGCAGTGTTATTTTTTTAAGGTGTTCTACCTTTTTACAGGAAGAGTTTCATTAAAGACGGGCGTGGGAACTGGCTTATTTTTTCTGAGCCCTAACGACATTTGATTGGCTGTTACGTTACTATAGTTGTAAGCGGTGACAACAGTGATTGGATAAACGGGCAAGCCGCCAAGCTGATAACTGTGTGTTCATTGCGTGCGATCATGGCGGTTTCAACTGCCTATTTCGTTATTTAAGAAACTTTCATGAACTAAGGGATAGAGTTGGGGTGGGGACGGGGTGGGGGTGAGGGGCTCAAGCCCGTAAGCCCTTCACTACCCACCGCCACTGTCAGACAGGCTATCTTCACTGTGTCACCGACAAAATACATATAGATCTAGGCCTACATGCATGTAATTTCGTAAAGTCGGTCAAAAAACGCGCGCTCAATGCACTTATCTGATAAAAGCAGTCATTCATCTTGGCGGGATTTTTTAAATCTTATTAATAATAGTAAATAGCATTTGTATAGCGCATGTCCCCACTCGAAAGCAAGCTCTATGCGCTTTACCTACACTATATTATTACCCCAGCAGACCATAGAACACTCAGAAACATCCTCAGCTTCCCGGGAAGCATACAGTGCAAGCAGCTGGTTAAGAGCTCAAACACTAACAAACTGACAAGATCTTTCGCTGTCTATAGCCGGTACCCATTCCCACCTGGGTGAAGTGAGGAAAATTCGTGTAAAGTGCCTTTCCCAAGGACACAACGTCGGGCCCGCGGCTCGAACCCCCGAACCCGCAACCTCACGATTATGAGTTAGGTAGCCTAACCATTATTATTATCATTAATAATATTATTATTATTAATAATATTATTATTATCGTTATTATTGTTGTTGTTATTAATATTACTATTATTATGTTGTTGTTATTGTTATTATTATTATTATTATTATTACTATTATTATTATTATTATTATTATTATTATTATTATTATTATTATTATTATCATTATTATCATTATTATTATAATTG